TAAAACTTTTACATTGGGCTTATCAAAACCATTCTGTGTAGATCTAAGACTGTTGTGACTGAAATCAGTAATAAAACTTCTCTTGATGCCCCATGGAACAGAGCTAAGGCAACACTGAGCTCTCTTAATAAATTCCGCTCCGGTAAAAGTTTTATTTAAAAAATGTGGTTAACCCAAAGCTTTTAAAGAAGATTAATGTGGACTTATAAAAAATGTCTGATTTTATTATTAGTAGTAATTCATACAGTTTGTCCTGAAGTTTTCCTTTTCAGCTTCAGTTTGAACCATATGTTCAGGAAGTTCAACTGAAAAGCGATCCTTCAGCAATATTATTTTTTTCTAATTAACAATAACCACAGAGGTATTTTAGAGAAACCTACAGAGTCCCTCAGAAGGTTGTAGAGTGGGATAGATTAAAACAGGATTTTGTCAATTTTATGAAAAATTCACTGAAGCACAAATGGGTCAACTTCAGAGGAGTCCTTCCTTTCCTGTTCTACCAAACAAAGGATTCTGAGTGCAGCAAATCTTAGTTTCCAGAGGATTCTTTTATGAAAGGCCTTGAAGGACTCTGGGATCCATCAGTGCCCCACTGGCCTCACTGGGACTGAGCACAGGCACAGCAGTGCAGCCGTGGGGATCCCCAGACTCTGATCCACCACCCCAGTGGGTCAAAGCCAGTCAGAGGTGATGGATGTCAAGCACAAAGCTCAAGGAGAAGCTGGAAGCTCGGTGCCAGACTGGGTTCATACAGACTGGATGGGGATTTAGGAATAAACACAGCTGTGGGCTCAGCCAAACGCTCTGTGTGTGCAAACAAAACACAAGAGGCACAAAGATAAATGCTGCACTCAAATGAAAATGAGTAAAAAGCACAAGTCAGAGCGAGGTTCATAAAAATACCTTTGGGCCAAATTTCACATTCCTAGTCCTTGTACACATGATGTAACTGATGGCATCAGGAACATTTTTTTTTCTGGATTTCAAACATGGTTTCTCTTAAATTCCCTTTCTCAGTGACAGCAGATGAGGGGATGCTGGGTGCAGAACCCCTGCACTGAGGGCTCCTGGAGACTTCTCGTTACAGCACAGCTCACACAAACTGTTTTTGCTGGCTGTTTTTAAGAACAAAGATCATTGTTCAGCTCAACAGAACAATCCCATCAAAGTGGCAACACAATGTTGTGCTGCTGTTTTCACTGGGGTCCCTGTCAAGTTGCATCAGTTGAAATGCTGAGAGGTTTCATTTCCCTGACCTGTCACACTGCTCGCTGTGCCCCGGAGCTGCCAGTCAAGCTGTGCTGCTTCTGCTGAGATGCTGTTTGTGCTTTGCTGGGTTTGCTGGTGGTGCCAGCCCTGACATTCAATTTTCCTGTTTTCTGACCAGCACAAACTCACTGCTGTCACTGCATGTGCAGCTGTCCTCACACTCTTCCCCCTTTTGCTCCTGAGACCTCTCTATGTCGTACTTGGAAATCAGCAGCAGCCTGGGTAAAAAAGGATGTGGCAATTGGCTTTTCCAGGGGTACAAGCTGCTCCTTGGCTGTGCCTGCTGGTTTATCTGGGATAACTGGCCCTGGAAGTCACTCTGGACAACTCCACCTTGATGCAGCTGCAATGCTTCTCTCCATGGGCACCCATATTCCTGAGGGCTTCAGCCATGACCCAGAGAGCTTCCAGAGTAAGATCCACAGGGAAAGAAGGTGTGGAAAGGAAACCCTTCCCTAGCTGATCTGTGAACCTCTGCACATACTAGTATAAAAGAGCAAAGGCTCCAGTTTTGCACAATCACTTTGCAGAGGAAAACCACGTATTAAAAATAAAGAATCACCTTCATTTTCACAGTCCATTGTAGAAAGAGGGTTTATTAATCCTGCTAACTTCCCTGTAAACATTAAATAACCTCCAATATGTTTAGCATATCTCCATTTTTTAATTTGGCATGTTGCTGCCTGACCCCCTACTGGAGGCACAGTCCCTGGTCAGCAGCACTAATCTGCCCTCCCTGCAGACAAAGGTAATATTTACCTCTGCCTGCATTTTGACACATGCCAAACAACGAGCTTGAGCTCTTGGGATCAGATTTATTTATCCTCTAATTTTCCCACAGCATTTCAAAACCCACTTGGGCTTGAATGATCCTGCAGCCATTTGCATTTATCATTTGACACATGTCAGATCAAACAACTCTGTGAAATATCAAACAGTCCTTTAGCATTTTTATTTTGTGTAGTTTATTGAATCTCTGGGACAACATTCCACAAAAAGCAGCATGGAAGTTCCTAATCTCACCAGGCCCCAGTCAGAGGTTGCTTGTTGCACTGAGAGGCTGGATACAGGGGAAAAAGGGAAAATGTTCTTTATTGTAGAACTGTGTTGCTTTTCACACCTCTTGTGAGAAGCAACACAATAAGCCAAGGAAACAACCTCGACCCCTAAGTGTTTATAAATCAGCATTTACTGAGTGAGCAGCACATAACAAATGGATTGAAAGAGACCCAGCAAGGAAAAGCAGTCTGTACCATTGTGTGATTACCTTCTGATGCAGGTACTGGCAATTCTGTGGTGGAAGTGTTACCATCCTGCTGCATCCAGAACCTTCTAGTGTAAGTGCTTCTGGAATTCTTACCTGGAAAAGTCCTGCAGTTGCCCTGGCAGGGAGGAGAACACCGTGTGCCATGAAAAGCCTGGTTAATTAAAAAACAGACCTAGGAAGGGTCAGGCTGGACCTTTCAAACATCACTCAGATTTGAAGTGCAGGATTTTAACTTGCCTCTAGAATTTCCAGTTTCCAGTGTAGAAAGCAGCTGGATTTCCCCCCAGATATTGCCAAATCCAAACAGTTCACACTGGCTCTGTCCTTTCTTAATGCTGGAATCCCAGTTCCCAGAAGGATTCTGTGTCAAGCTGAATACTTTCTTTTCCAAGGGCTGGGGCAGCAGGGATCCCTTTTAGAAGGATTCCTCTGGATACTGTACCATGACTGAACAGTGTAGAGGCATTTGGACAGCAGAGAAAGGTTCTGCATTCAAGAGATTTTAACTTTCAAAGTGCTTAAGAGACACATGGAACTGAAATGCATCAGAATACAAAATAACCAAGCTCATGTGAACATTCAGTTTGCAGGTTACCTGTATGACAAGCTGTTATTCCTGACTCTTGCCTTATGAGGCCTCTTCACCCAGGAGGGTCTCATGGAGTTTTTTCCTAAGAGTTGCTCTTTGCTTCTTTGGAACCATCATATTCTTGTCTTCTCCATGTGAGTGAAGCCTGGGCCTCTCTGCAGGACTCTTGGAGCAGCTGATGACATGGTGGTTGCTTCCCTTCTTTTAATTTGCATGATAAAAATCTGTCAGCAAATTGCACCTGAAGGGGTGAGGATGGCAGCTCAGGGGCCTGACTGGCCCCAGCTGAGGCCTTGGCCAAACTTCCTCAAGCCATGACTGAGGCTTCTCTTGGACTGGGGCAGTGGGATGCCACAGACTGAAGGACTCAGCAGTGCTTGGTATGGCCAAGGCACTCCATGTGGAGCCCTCAGAGGGCAGTTCTACAAGAATGCCTCAAGCCACAATCAGAGTTTAACATTACAGTGCCCATCGACCTGCAGCTGAAGAATGTTAGAACTTCTTGAGCTTTAACGTTTTACTTCTTGGCTCAATTTGAATTAAATTTTAATTTGAGAACTTGGCAAACCGAACAATTTGCTAAGTCTTGTATAACACAAGGATGGCCAGGCAGTCTCACTGCAAAATCCTGCAGCAGTGTTTGTGTTATCACAGCTGATTTCTCAGGCACTGGGATACAGAGTTCTCACAGCTCTGGTTTTAAAATGGATCGTATGAAACTGGTAGGCACGCTGGCTTGGAACAAAAATGCAACTGTAAAGTACAAGTATCACAAGGGGAGGAAGGCATTAAAGGCCATGCAGGAAATGTGAACAGATCTCTGTAACTGTGTCGTGCAAGCCCACACAAGGCACAGGGAGTCCTTGAACCCTGTGCATCTACATTTTACACCAAGGCAGTGTGATTGTTTGTTCCCTTTCCAGACTCCCTACACCCCTCGTGCTAAGTCTTGCTACCAGTTCAGCCAGAGAAATCGAGGCCAGTTTGAGGATAATGATATAAATAGCAGGAAGTTTATGGAAACTTTGCTGAAGTTGTTTGTGTTGAGCTGCAAAGAGGTAAAAGTGCTGGTGCAGTGCCAGCCAACCCTGCACATCTGTCCCTGTATAACCTGTACCTTTGCTCTCCATTTGGAGTCTCTGGACTTCATTTTTACACACTAATTGCATATTAAAATAGAGATATTAAGATTTATGAATACTTACTGGTTACAACACACTGGTTTCCAATTGCTTTTTCCCACTCTTGTCTTTTCAGCTGACAGATTTTATTGTGCCCCTGAGTTGGGAGCTCTGACACCCCACTATGTCAGAATCATTTTCTTGCTTGTTTTACTCTTTTTGTCATGGTGTTTCTTCATTTTATTCCCATCAACTTTCATTGTCTTTAATTATGTCCCTGAACTTGTAAAGCTCCTAACAATGGGTACTTTGGAAAGGGTAACAACTGCTTTTCCATGAACTACAAGGCAGGAAGTGCATTGTTTCTTTAAAAAAAATACCAGATGTTTTTCAGGGCTGACTACTAAGATTTAGGGGAAAAAAAAAAAAGCTAGAAACTATTATTTTCCAAATAACCCAAGTGTAATTTGGTTATTGTGTGACTCCTGTTTGCATTTAACTGGGAATTGCAGCCTAGGCCAATACTAAATAAGAAATTTCTCTCAAGCTAAGTGTGTAAAGTCCATCCATGTGAATATTGACTCCACAGGCTCAAGTCCATCTGAGTGAATCATGTTATTCCTTGTGCTGTTCCTGCCAGTCCAAATACTGGCACTGGGGTACCTGCAACTGGTTGTCTTGTATTCTCTAACTGGAACAAATGAATATTCCTTGTCCCTGTGTGCAAGGATTATTGACAGAAAATACCCAGTGCTTCACATTAAAGTGACTGCATTTTATTTCTCATTAAAATGTATATTTTAAATGATAACAGGACATTTTCAACATGGACAGTACATTAAGAAGAAATTACCCGCATCACGCATGCCTGGAAATTTGCCTGCTGTTCCCAGCTCCCATGCCTCTGGATCACAAGCTGTTCATGATGGAGCGATACTCTCTCTGGTGCTCCACAAGCTTCAAAAATACTTCGTATTTCTTGTCATAAAATCTATGTAAGAAAGTTAATGTCAGCAAAGCCTGTGATTGGAAGATTTAAATCCCCTGCAATATACATGTTTACTTGCTTCTCTTAGCATTAAAGATGCTTTGACTCTTTGCTAGGTACAGCTGCTGCTGGGGTCAGAGCCCTCCCTGTGCACTGCTGAGTTTCCACCCAAGCTGTGATTTCCAGCTGCGAGTCCACCTTTCATTTCCCTACAGCCAGCTTGGCTTCTCAGACAGTTTTCCCCAGAGTTCTCTGTTGTGAGAGTGAGGAGACACCGGAGCTTCACAGAATTCATTCAGGTGGCAAAAATCCTTCAAAATCACCGAGTCCAACCATTCCCCCAGCACTGCCAAGGCTGCCACTGCCCCGTGTCCCCAAGTGCCACTTCCACAGGGATTTCAAATCCCTTCAGGGACGGGCACTGCCCTGGGCAGCTGTGCCAGGGCTGGACAACCCTTTCCATGAAGAAGTTTTCCCAAATATCCAATCTAAACTTTTCTTGGCACAGCTTGAGGCCGTTTCCTCTTGTCCTGTCTCTTGTTATTTGGGAGCACAGCCCGACCCCCCGGCTGTCCCCTGCTGTCAGGGAGTTGTGCAAAGCCACAAGGCTTCCCCTGAGCCCCCTTTTCTCCAGGCTGAGCCCCTTCCCAGCTCCCTCAGCCGCTCGGGGTGCTGCAGCCCTTCCCCTGGGCAGGCTGGGGCCCTCAGAGCAGTCCCGTGCAGCGGGGCCCAGGAGCGGGCACAGGCCCCGCCATGTCCCCTCAGCCCGGGCCCGCCGCCAGGGGGAGCCCGCGCGCCGCCGCCTGTGGAATCCGGAGCCCGAGAAAGTGTAACGCGAATTACCCTTAAAGTACAATGTAATGGAAGATAATCCTCAGAAACTGATAGAAATCATCCTTTTAAATATCATATTAATAATCCTTAAAATATAATGTGAATAATCAAGCTTTAAAAATTAATATAAATAATCATTAGAAATACAATATGAACAGTTCTTATAAAATATAATATACTGTGATTCTTAAAGTATCTGTATGCTAAACATTACTGCAGTCGAGCAGGGCTGTAAAATGACACCCCCCAACCTCATCTCCAGACCCCAACTTTATCTCCCTTGAACTCTCCCAGTGGAACACAGCAGGGCCAGCGTTACCTTTTATGCTCGTGGTTGGGCTGCACAACTTTTCCAATTTTCCCCATTTTCGCCATGGCCTCCTAGGAAAAGACAAACACCAACTGGAAAAGCCTGTTTTGATTTAAAATACTTTTTGACAAGAACAAGATGTTTCAAAACCAATCGGAACATTAGTGATGTATTTTGTTTCGGCTGAACAGGCCAGATGGCAGCAAATATGTTCAATCCCATTATAAAGTAGTCAAGAGAACAAAGCTCTGCAGACCCTCAGTAACCAAAGTCTGCTCCTCTCTCTCACTGGGAGTCCCAGGCAGAACAGAGTTATCTTTTATTATTTACTCTAACCAAAGGAAATGTTAAACACTGCATCCCTGGAGGGGAAGGTTCCCAAATAAAATGATACTGTACTTGAGATCCTGTATCATATTCTGAAAGTATCAGTTCCCTGCAGTGAGGGAGGACTCGAGGGTGCTCCACAAGCTGAAGGTAACCTGGGAATGTCTGTCCTGCAGCTCACAGCTGTCCTCACATTTCAGCACAAAGGTGCAAGAGGGAAACTCTGATCCTGTTCTGCTTTTGGCCAAAATAAAGTCAAAGCCCACAGAATCCCCTGCAGAAGGAGTCTCTGGGACAGCCATGTGTGGAAGGGAGAGGGATGAGTAATTTGCTTCCTTTCCTGATCTCTGTGAGATTCTGATTTTCCGTGGATTCTCCCAAGCAATCCCACTGGAAAGAGAATCACCGAAGTTAAGAGGCCTGAGCTCTCAGGATACAGTGGAGGCAGCAGACACTCAGTGATTTCACAAGGACAATCAAAGCAACAGCTTTTAGATGTTAAAAACATTAAAGGTCAGGACTCAAGAGTCAGTGTGTGACAAAATCTAAGAATTTCTAAGCAGGACCCTGAACCTGTTTTAATGCAGTGCCTAAGAATGAGGATGACCCTGCAGAACCCTGTGCTGCTGCTGGAACCTTCCAGTCAGCTACAGCTGGATTTTTGAAAGGTTTGGATGATTTTACAGGCTGGAATACCTGCCCTAGTGAAATCTGTGCTTTCCACTTACCCAGCACTTGACAGAGGATCTCACAGAACTTCACAGCGTGGATGAGCAATGTCAGTGCAGTGTCACTGTCCCAGGACAGGCTCCACCAAAGGCAGAAGCATTGCCAGGTGTGCACTCAGGACTGCACTCTGCTGAGGGTGCTGATACAGCAGCAGGGAATATTTCTGTGCTCTAATATGCCCATTCTCCTTCATACAGTGATTGTACTTTGATTCCCCAAGAAACACCCTTGAAATAACACTTGCAGAGAGATAGTGTGTTCTTTTCCCTGGGACATGTGAGCCTGCTGGCACTGAGACTCTGCACAGCAGCCAGATTAAACTACTGCCATGGAAAGGCTGATATCCTTCCCAGTAAGAGAAATGGGCATTTTATTTCCTGGCCTTTAACAGGTGACACTGACAATGCTCAAGCATTGTCCCTGTTTACAATAGACAGTCCCTTACACAGCCATCTGGATTTACAGACTATCCAAAAAATGAATGAACACACAGCAAAAAAAAAGAGGCAACTCAAAGTAGAAGCCAATTCCCTCTGGTACAATGGTTACTGATTTTCCATTGTGCCTTAGGGAAAACAAAGCCCCCTGAAACACTCTCTCACGAATGAAAGAGTCACCTTCTTTTCTGCTCCCTGCTTTACCCCTCCTTTTGAACTGCCCTGGAGACACTGCATGAAAATAAACACATAACATCTGAAGTGTCTCAACTGGCAAATCCATTTTTTAACACAGGTGCAACAAAAATGAAAAGGAGGGCCAGACTTTGCATTCCCCTGCCTGTGCACACTCAGGACAGGACACAGCTCCATTCCCAGGCTATGTTCTGCCTCTGACATGGGTTCCCCACGCCCTCGTGTTCTGCTTTACTCTTACAGCTTCCAGAAAATGCTGCTTCTCTTCTGCTGGACCCCCATCATCCACCCTGAGCTAAGGAGGAAGACTTCTGAGTTTATCAGTTTTTCAGTTTATCAGCTAAAATACTTTGGTGTTTTTAAATCTACTGAAAACACACAGACCTTTGAGAATCCACAGCATTAAAGTCTCACAGCAACTACCATGGTTCTGTGGAATAGCATGGCAAAAAAATACACAGCCAGCAATTTTCAACAACTCACCCATTCTGAGTTGCTCAAAATATCCTAAATTAATTCTCTCTCTCAAGTCACATTTTAGTTGTGTGTTTTTCTGTGTTTAAAGTCAGTTTGGTCATTGTTAGCTTGAACAAAAAACTTTACTCCCAGAGGAGAGTCCTTTCAACAATTTTCTGGGGACAAAGAGGAACAGAACATTGAAAATATGAATTTATAATGAAATGGAAAACAAAGGAACATTAGAATTGCATTACTGAATCGGATCAACCTTGTGCACTGCTCTGTCTCCAACAAAGCCTTAAATATAGCAAAGTGATAATACTGCCGTTCAGAAATAGTTTGTTTGAGGGTTGACATCCAAATCCATAATTCCAGTCACCAAGGATTTCACAATCTTAATTTGAATGACGCTCTATCTTCTTTGTTTGCCAGTCTAGACAGCACAATGAATACAGTGATTTAAAACACAATGAATTCTCTCTTAAAACAAAATATTTTGTAAAATTGCTTTTTAATCATTTCTTTTCTCTCTTTCCATAAAGGCTACGCTATAAATAAACCCTGAAAGTTCGCATTTGATCATCGTTTCTAAAGGCTGGGCAAGAGGCAAGTGAAGGGTTTACACAGAAAAAAAGAGAGGCACTGTGGAGCAGAAATAAAGGGATGCATTCATGATTTCTAACCTTTTGTTGGAGTGTCAGCGCTGAGACAGATACAAGCCAGTAAACACTCTGCTCTCCATGGAGAGACCCAGCCCAGCGGGGTTATCCCTGCCTGGGAAGGGACAGGGAACCAAACTCTCCGAGGCCCACCAAGATCTCAGGACGAGGTGCCATTTTGCTGCTGGGAAGGTCAGTAGCCACTCAAATCCACTCAGTCCTGGTGGCTGAATTCCACTCTCCAGCATCATCTGGGGCTGGGGATCCAACACTTGCCCAGCTGAGGAATCCAGGGCAGCCCCAACAGGCAGTGGATCTCCAAGGGAAACCCTACTGGAAACCCAGGGAAAATCCTATGTCCTAGGGAAGCCCAACTTTGACACAGCATCTTAAAGCTGGAAATTTCAATCATTGTCCCCTTAATAATGGGAAGGAAAAGGTTTTTAACCCTGTGTGGGAGGAGGCAGCAGGAGAAGCCCATCAGCCTGGCACAGGAGCCACAGGAGGTGCACACAGGGAATAGCTTCAGGCTGGGAGACCAATCCTCTCTGATTCTTTGCCCTCGGGGTCCTCCAAGAGCTGCCTCACAAAACCCTGCACATCGCACAGGATGAGCCCACATCCCTTGGGACTGCACAGGGAGGCCAGTGAAGCCCACTTGTGGATGGAATCACAAAATCACAGAATCAACTAGGCTGGAACAGACCTTGGAGATCATCAAGCCCAACCTAGAATAGTCCCCAAGTCTGATTTTCAGCTGTGACTCAAGGACTGATAAGACTGAGTATTACTGAAAATTAATGGGACGTGAGCCTTAAAGTACACAGCAAATGAGAAATCAGATTTAGGGACACCAGCCTTAGTTTAGAAAGTCACAAAATCCCAATTGGGCTTTTTCTTTATTTTGAGACTTTAAAAATTGTATCCGAAGTTAAATGGTAAGGCATCCAAGCACAAATGTAACTTCCAGCTGTGTTGTCACCACTCAGTCATTTTGGTAATCCCAAGAAATGCTAGGACTTTAACCTAAGGTAACTATTAACAACAAAACAACCACAGATCATTTCAAGTTCTCCTGCACCATTTCAGTGGCTGAAAGCATGTGGCTGCACAAAGCAGCCAAACCGGGGGATCTGATGCTCACACTCAGGCCAGTCTCATCTCTCCAGTGTTTCTGTTTAGTTTTCCTGTCACAGATCCAGCAGCAAGAGGAAAATAATGTAAAAGTTGCCCCATTCACAAGAGGCTGAAATGTAGGAACATTCTTACCACCAGATCTGTCCTGATTTCAGGATTCAGCAGGTGTTAACCTTCAAACTATCAGAGTTTCCTTACCCTTCTAGTCCTCACAACAAATCAAACAAATAATGTTCTATGTAATAATTTTAATTGTTCTGCAGCAGTGAAGAACCTCACTCTCACTCATCTCTATTCCACACACACAAACTCAGCTAACAGATGTCTTTAGCATCATTTTAAGAAGTTCAGTGAAGGATATATTTGGATTTGAGGGGCATAAATAGATTTCTTGAAATGCTGATGTTGAAGAAATACTTTTAAACTTCTATAAGAATTTTAAGCAATGCTGCTATTTCCTCCTAGGCTTTTATTTAGGGATTGCTTTGGAGATGCAAAATTCATCTTATCTGTGTTTACAGGAGTTACATGAATGTGTTTCTGCAGAACATTACTTTTTAGTGGTATATGACTGCATGAAGAAAGCATGTGATGGACCATATACAATATTTTTCTAGTGGTTTCCCCCCCCCCTTAAATTGGTTTGAGTTATAGGGGCAGATTTTGGCAGCATGCACAAAGCCCAGAATCTGTAACTCAATTCCCTGTGGGTTTCTAGATGGAGCGAGCCAAGTTTTAAAACACATTATGGATAAATATTAGAGCTGAGCAAAAAATTCACACCTAAGACCAAAGTGTGAAAATTTGGCTTTGATTCATTTAGTGAAAAGGTGGAAAATTTCACACAAGTTAGCATTTTCCTTTTGCTCCGATCCAACATCGATTTCTGTGTCTGTATCAAACCTCAGAGAGAGAGAGAGAGAGAGAGGAAGAGTTTTGTCTGTCTGTGCACATGAGATACAGAGGAAGAGGGAGAAGAGGATGGAAGGATGGAGGGCTGGCAAGCAGGACACCAGCTCAGGACTTGAGTCTGTCTTCCAGGAAAAGTCACTGGCCTTTGGCATCTCCCTGTCCATGTGTTCAGTAACAGCACTGGCCCTCCTTAGAGGAATATTTTATGCATTTGTT